GGCTACCGTGCACTGGGTGTTGGCTGGCCATGCCTGGGTATGAGCTGGGCTCTCTCTCAGGGGACATCTCCTTGGCCACAGGGTCATGGTTGCCCCCTTGCCTCGCTCCAGTCTCAGCTTCCCCATGCAGCGGTAACTCCCCATCTCTCCCCCACCCCAGATATAAATGAGTGCCTGCAGTTTCCCCCACCGTGTGCCTTTGAGTGCCGTAACCTGCGAGGATCCTACAAATGCCTGTGCCCGCCCGGCAGGACCCTGCTGCCAGGTGGACAGTGTGGCACAGCAGGGACAGATGGAGGGAAGACACCCCAGGGCACTCTCCTGCGCTGGCTGGGGCCAAGCAGCCACCCACGGGGACGGTCCTTCTACACCCAACTCGCTCTGCGCCGCGTGGCGAAGGATGCAGGGATGGGTTCCCATGGCCTCTTCTGCCCCATGGGCTACATCAAGAGGAATGGCACCTGCACCGGTGAGTGTGCATCAGGGAAGAGGGTTGCAGGGGGTTTGAAGGCCACTTTGTCCCAAAAAGGTGCCCATTGCTGCCCTGCCACCCACTTTGTGGTGTCAGGGACTCCCTGGGCTTGGCTGTGCTGGGAAGGAGAGGGGACAGCCAGGCTGCCCCAGGGCAGTGAGCACTGGAGGGGACTGATGCTTCCCTCCTTGCCTTCACCCCTCTCACCCTACAGACCTCGATGAGTGCCAGACTCTGAACCAGTGCCAGCACAAGTGCAGGAACAGCCTGGGGCGCTACCACTGCCTCTGCCCCAGGCCTCTGCCCCACTGGCTATCGGCTGCTGCCCAATGGAAAAACCTGCCATGGTTAGTAGGGAGTGCCAGGAGGATACCCAGTCCCCACAGTGCCCTTGGTGTCATCCTTTTGGTCTGCAAGTTTTTCTCCTTCCAGCAACGTGTTGTTTCCAGGCTCAGCACCCTGTTGAGCCTGGGTGCCGTTGTCTCACTGTCTCAGTGTCTGAGAGCCTGGGCAGGGGTGGGAAGGTGTGGGGGGCAGGGTTTGAACCCCTCTCTCATCCATGGGTACCCCAGCACTCTCAGACCTGTTCCCTCTCTGCTTGCAGACATAGATGAGTGCACAGAGGGCACAATCCAGTGTGGCTCGAGCCAGATGTGCTTCAACACCCGCGGAGGTGCCCAGTGTGTGGATGTACCATGCCCAGCTGGGTACCGGAGAGGCCCCAGCCCTGGGTGAGTCACGCTGTGGGGTTGGGGGTGCCCATCCCAAATTCCTTGTGGCACCATGAACCCTGGTGTCCCGGCCTCTCCTGACTCCCACGACATCCCACATCCCTCCATCTCTCGTGCAGGGTGTGTGTGGGTCACTGCAGCCCGTTCTGTGGCCCAGCTGGGCCCCCCACGCTGCAGTACCAGCTGCTCACCCTGCCCCTTGGCATCGCTGCCCACCGGGACGTGGTGCACCTCACCCCGGGCACTGCTCTCCGCCACCGCCCTGTCTTCACACTGCAGGAGCAGGACCCTGGCAGCCCCTTCACCCTCCGCACCCAGCAGGGCCGTGGCATCATCTCCACCCTGCGCCCGCTGCGGGATCCTGGCACCCACCGCCTCAAGGTGCAGGCGCTGGTTCCAGGCGGGCAGCGAGCACCCAGCATCTTCCTCCTCCTCATCTCTGTCTCTCCCTACCCCTACTGACACAGCCCAGGGACAGGAGGGGATGTAGGGTCGTGTCTTCTCCTGTCCCTCCCCACTGCAGCGGTGGGGCACATGCTCAGGGAATGCTGAGCTTGCACCTATCTTCTCCCTCCCCAGACATCCCTACACTCCTCACCCGTGTTCTCTTTGCCCAGGGCTGGTTCCTGACTCAGCAGGGGAGGGGATAAGATGTCCCACCAGCCTCTTGCAATCAGGTTCCAGAGTAAACACAGCTCTGGGTGGCCTTGCCCACAATCAGTCCCCAGATGTGGGGGTGGGAGGATGGACTGGGTGATGGTGGCCAGCTGGGGTGCAGGGAGGGATCCCCCAGGCTGGGGAGGGCATGTGGTACCCTGGCATTAACCATGTATTAAATTGAAATAGTCTTTTTTTTATTTTCAATCCACTTGATTTCTGTGCACACTTATTTGTTCCTGGGGCTTTGGACACCTCCCTGCTTGGCCTTGGAGCACAGAAGGGAGATTGTCTGGATGTGGCAATGCTGGAGGGCCAATGTCCAGCCTTGAAGGTCCAATCCTGCTTCAGCATCAGGTCCCTTGGTCAGCAGGA